GTCTCGACACTTTCCCTTAATATATTTGTACAAACCGATAAGATCCCCTCTCCATCTTCTCTTCCCTAGGGTAAAYAGGCCCAGCTCTTTCAATCTTCATGTGAGATGCTCCATTCTCCTAATTAGCTACATAGCCCCAGGCTGGGCTCACTTCAGTAGCTTTTTCTTGCAGAAACCACAAYCTGGTCATTTGTCTCTGTAGCCTGAACACAGAAACTTCAGACCTGCACCCTCTGTCCTGCCTTTAGTGCTCARTTGTCCCTGAGCAGTCTTCTACCCTTGCATATTAAAGTTATCTCATTTTTTTACATCACCTCATCCTGGATGATAATTTTTCTAGTAGGTGAAGAGTCTCCACAGATTTGCTTTTGCTAGCAGAACTGGGTTTTTCAATAAAGAAAAATAGCATTCAAAATACTTGCTGGTATAAGGTTTTGTAGCTGAAGCCACAYGTCTGGGTTCTCAGCATGACCCTTTCCTGGGGAACTCCAACTTCCTACTTTGGGACCGTTGGTTTCTAGAACTATAGACTGGAGCTGGAGTTGCAGCTAATCGCGTCTTTCCTGAAGTCATCCAAATGTTGTTAAATATAAAGAAACTCTTTGAACTGAGTTGCAACTTGCACCTGCTGGAAATCCCTCCTGCACTAGTGTCTAGTGCAGAACGTCCCCAAGTAACCTGGGTGCTTTCCTAGGCAGAGTTAAAGATTATGTTCCAGTAAGCCTAGTCTGTAAACACCAGGCCTGTCCTTGTGCCTGGACCAATTTGGTGAATATCTTAGGACCTCTTTTCAGTGAAAGATATTAATATTACCTCCCACAAAAGTTGCTTTACCTCCCACTAAATCTGCCATTTATGGCACCGTGATGATGTGAAGAACCCTCACAGATCTAGATAGAAATGCCTGATAGGTTAAATGTATTTATTCAAATGTCCCCAACTGCACAGAAACGTATTTTCTCCGACGCACGTTTTTTGGTTACATTTTTAGGACAAAAACTTGCAGAATGTTATGTTGCTATTCCCAGTATAACATAGGAACATTGTGAGACTGATGTCTATCCAGTGGGTATTGCGGTTCTGGCAAGTATTGCAGCCAGTGCACAAACAACAGTGGTTTCACAAGAAGGTTACAATGTAGTCTTGAGAAAAAGGAAGGAGAATAGTTGAGCCATACAGAGACAGGAAGAATCATGATGTCATCAAAAGCAGCCTCCAACAGCACTTTTTTTCCCCCAAAGTGACCTGAGAATTAAGAAGCCCAGACTGATTCTCGGCTTCAGCAGGTTTTCAGTGATACCCTCGCTGCTGAGAAGTGCTTTAAATCTCCCTCAGGTTTTGCAATGTTGCACTGCGAGGGGTCAAGACCTCAGAGAACGGCCTGGTGTGAGATCTCAGAAAACTGATGTTCATGGCATCTGAAAAAGGGTAGTCAAGTGGCTGGTGGCAAAAGCTCAGTCGCTGATAACAGGAATAGGTCTATCAAGAGGTTTCCTAAAAGAAAATATTGATCCTCGACTCTTTATGGGGAGAAACGAGGACTGGCATTTCGGGTGGTGGGAGCAGCAGCAGGTGGGTGGCCATGGCTGCTGCCGCCGCCGCGGGGGCTGCCGTGCACAGCTCGGTGCACGGCTGGGCGCACAGCACCCGCCTGGGGACATCCCCGCTCCGGGGAACCCCTGCGCGGAGCCGCCGCAACGTCGCCCAGCTGGGGGCCCTGGCGCCCGTCCTGCTCGGAGCAGCAGGGCCTCCAGCGCCGCAGAGAGCCACCACAGGGCCCCGCGTCTTGCTTTAGGCCTGAAGGGGACACTGAGCGAAAGCGGAAGCCAAGTCCTGGGGGGGATTCCGGGAGCCTCTTCACCGCCTCAAACGTCAGCTTTCCTCCTGCCTCTTTGCYGGGCAGCTGAGGCCGAGATTTTCACGTTACTTTTGTGAATCTCCAGCCTCAAGGGCCTCAGTTGCACTTGCGGTAAGCCCTTTCTGCCACCTCCTTTCAGCTAGCAAGCTCTCCTGCGGCCTTTCTGCTCACGGGCTTCTTTTCTAAATTTAGGTAGCTACAGCTAATTAATATGACTATTTTAGGCATTTGGGGACCTAAACTTAACCTAGTCAATACGGCATCAGACTCATAACTCCTTCCACCGCATGTGCGAATTAGTAACAGCCATCGGTGGTTGAGCGGGTTGGAGCCCTGTCCTGGCAGCTGGAACAGGAAAGTGTCTAAGTTAGCTTCCAAGTCTGGTTTTACCRAAGCATGTAACCCTTCTCCATTAAATATATATATATATAYACACACACATTTATAGAACATTTAAACAATGTACACTGAATTTTTCTCACCTGGAAGACGCTTGCAAAAATGTTTTTGCTTCGTTTATATACAGAAATCAAACACTTTCTTGCTGCATAAAACCAAGCATTTAATACCTTGGGCTGCATGAAGATATTCCAGTGATAGGGATAATGAAATACATGCTAGGGAGAGGTTAGATCAGTCACGAAGAACTAGTCAGTGCTACGTAACAAGACTACTCTCCTTCCTTGGTATTTGAAGGCAGGAAGATTTGGGCAGGGAGGGAAGAAAAAGTGAAACAGCACAGGCAAGCAGCGAACAAGCAAGTGAAAACATCCCAATTTTCTACTGCTTTGTTCAATAAGTTGCTGCAAATATTTTTCTCCCTGTGCTATTTAGGGATTTCCTTCTTCTAAAAGTTACCATGGTCACTGTGGTGTAGCATTAATTTGTTTATATAACCCCCGAGTTGCAAATATAGCCCCAGATGTTATTTCAGAAACACTATACTTCGGGAAGATTTTCTAAAACCTGCACATTAAAACTGCACGGAACAGTGATTTTTAACCATAACATTAACAAGGCCTCCTTCAGAGAAGGGCAGCAACGCTAACTTTCCTACCATGAAGAGACGGTTGTTCAGCCTCACTGATGCTGCGCTCGGATCCTGCTCAACTTGCAAACAAACTTAAGCCTTGTAATGGGCTTGTTCTAACTGAATGTTCCATCTGTTATCTTCACAGTGTGCAACAGAAAAAGGAACTGATAGGCTTGATTTAATATCAGATGTAATTTGTATAAGCCTAAGAGATCAGGGCTCTTCTAGGGTATGGAAGAAAATGTCATTTTTTTTTTAAATTAAGACTATTAACTCATGTTCAGAAATTTCTGCATTTTTATGCCTATTTTATAGATAAACATCATGGATCAAACCTCTATGAATATTTACTTTCCAGTAGCAACACGACTGGTTTGTATCCTGATATTATATGCAAAATACTATTTGAGCCTCAACAGGGTACTACAAATCTGAGTGTGAGACAACCAGAACTTTCCATCTCRGCGTAAGTCAATTTTCTTTCTGCATTTTTAAAGAGAAAAATATTTAGAGAACGCCTTACCATAAATGAAGCTGTTCTGAAATGCCTGAATGAATGTTTGCTGGCTGAAATCACTTGCAGCAGTACAGTAAATACACTTAGATGTATTTGGAASTTAACAGATTRACTGATTCTCTGCCCTGTAAATAATCAGTGAAGTGGCACCTGCTCTGCCCATGTGAGAAGCTGACAGCAAACACCACGACGCAGCAGAGTAGCCAGAGCTACAATAAAAATAARTAAAGAACAAAACAGACCAGAAAAACACCCAACACCCCTTTTCACTAGTTAGTTACACAGATGAGCAGACACAAACAACACTCTTCCAGACACTTTTGGGTTAACATGTTTGCAGGGTTCAGGGACCTTTGATAAATCTGTCCTTTTAAGCACTGTTTGCTCTAATGGAAGTAAACATTTCTGGAACTACAATTGTGTTACATTATATTGTTTATGCCACCTTCCATCTTCCACACTGTGAATAGGGGGCACTGAACAGAAACTAACTACTTACTGGAAATGTCAACTTGCTCATACTTTTCTAGAGCTTCATCTTGTAAGAGCAGAATGAGGAAGTCCTAACAAAGCTCCTAAAGCGATTATTTTTAAACAGAAAAAAAAAGAGACAAAAAAAAAAAAATGACTGCCTAATATAAAATACACAGACTGAGCAGTGATCATTTTGTGACATCTGAAGCCAAGAAAATTCTTCAGCAATAAAGAACATCTTTTTAAAGAAAAAAAAAAAGAGACAAAAAAAAAAAAAAATAGGCCTTCTGTAAGAAGGCATACAGCATAAATTAATGTATTCACTTGGCTTCATGACCAATTTTGTTTTTTAGGTATTGCTATAGTAGGCTTGGATCTCTAGGAATAGCAGGTACACTTGGCAATCTAGTACTAGTAGATTGCCTGCTAGTYACAAGAGAATATCTGTAAAAGTAACAGATTTTTCAGAAGGAAGGAGCAAGGAGAGGGTGTTCCCTTGGCACCCTTACAAAGGTGCCAAGAAGGCTGAAGAACACATTTTTTTTCCCAGGTTCCTTTAAGTATTGACACAGAGGCTGGCACTATCATAACAGCTCTTCCTTTACATTAGAGTAGCAAAACACAGTGACGCAGATTAAACAAAGCAAACATTACCTTCAAACTTATCTAAAACACCCTGCATACAGCACAGATAAAGCACTCATCTCTGTACTGACGCAGCAGTTTTCTGCTACTGGATGGACAGTGAAGTTTGCAGTAAAATTACACTCAGGGCATAACTTTTGCTCTTTGACCTTGCACTGAGTCAAGCACATATATAAAATATACATATTTTTTAATATTACCTCAAAACAAAAAAATCTTAGAACTCTTAAGAGTGATTTGAAGACTTGTCTTTCCTTCCTTATCAGGGAAAAAAAAAATTCTCCAGCCTCCAGTTCTTTTTTTTTTTTTTTTTTATAGAGGGTTTGCTTAGTCCAGTACAATTCCGGTAAAACCACAGCTCAGTCTTTCCTGGTTTCCACATCGCACTTTATATCCCTGCACTCCTGCCTCAGAAACAGGCTCGAAACTGGTCCCAGGTCTCACCTCAGACCTACTCCAAGGGGAGGCAGCCCTGGRCCCTGCCTGAAGGGGCACCGGGTGCCTGACCCCAGCACCCGGGGCAGGCAGGGCCTCAGCCCTGCTGTGGTGCTGGCCTCGCGTCCTGCAGCTACTGCCTGGGATGGGGTAAAGGCTGCACACAGGGAGGACTCGGGTTCTAGARGTAGGTGTGGTGCAGAGGAAACCCTGGGGGAGAAAAACTCCTCAAAGGCTCTTTGCAACAAGGAGGATGGGCAGTGAAAACAAAAGAAAATCAGAGGGTTCTCCACCTTTGCACTTGTGTCACACACCTAGTTCTGTTCCACAGCTGCAACAATCTGTAGCTCCTCCTGTTATAAAGAAAACCTAAGAAGGCTTCCAAGTGAGCAGGGAGACGAACAGAGAGTAATACAGGGCTCTAGCTTGTGGTATAGCAGAGCATCTAGCTCCATTCTATATTGACATTTCTGTTCTTAGGTATTAACCATAATTCTTTACAAACATTGTCTCTTTCCAACTAGTCTTTTTGATGCTTGCACTATTCCAAATAGCATACTGAAATAGCACATCTGAGAGTCATAAAGAAGTTCTGAACTCCATTTGATTCAGGGGAATTGAACATACAAGGCTGCATTCTATARAGGCTTTTTCCTACATCCATAAAAGTTTTAGTTTTAGAATTATCAAAACTATTATAAAGATTTATTGACAGTAGCAATACACAGATGCTTTTTGTGAACACAAAGTACAAAGAAAATGGACTTGTCATTTTTTGACATGGTAACTGTATAATGCTTATACAAACAGGAAGTCACAAAAGTCACATTTAGAAGAATCCACGTTGAATTCAGGAGATGTCGTGTCTTATTAGATCACCAAAATAAGCAGTTATTGTCTTCAGTTTGTTATTGAGAAAATTCTGTTCTATTTCAACTTTCCCTCCTGGCCCTGCTAAGGAAGCAACCTAAAAAACAAAGAATGAAAATCAGTCAACGCACATAAAAAGCAAAACTTTCATTCATATAAAACACCTCCTAAAGTGCATCTCTACTGTATTAATACTGGCGATGGCATTTCTTGTCATCTAATACCCCACGTCTTTAATTTGTGTCATTCTTTACTCACAGAAGTGGTTAGTGGTTTTGTCATTCAAAATTCCCCCACTTCTCCGTGGCATGAAAGTGACAGGACTTCAGAAGTGTCAGAATAAACGGCCGCTGCTCCAAAGCGAGAGCACCGTCACCCTCGGGTTTACTGCCGAGGTGCATTCGGGAAACCTTGCTGCTTGCCCTCAGYGGCAAAGAGCAGGCTGCAGATTGTGCCACAAAGGTACCAAAAGTGCCAAGTGTTTCTCCTTTTTTTCTTTTTGGGAGGGAGGGAAGGGCAGGTGAAAGAGTGTCTTAAAGGCAGGATGTCCTCCTGGCTGCCCTCCCGCTCCGGCCCGGGCACCTCCTGGGAGGAGAAGCCTCTGCGAAGTGTCTCTGCACAGCCAAAGCCCGAGCCAGGTCCACAAACCTGCTGCAAATTCTAACTGATCCTTAGACCAACGAGTCCCCGGCACCGCAAGCTGTGCCTACAGCGTTAGCTGGTACCATCAATGCCTGTCAACTCCTCCGGGACCCTGCCCTGCAGCCCTGTAGGTTTTACATATAAATACGTTGAACTTCCTCTATTTTACTGTAAGTTATAAAGGCCTGCGTACCACTGAGAGGAAACAACAGATTGATCCGTATTACACTTCAAACTGCTACTGGGGTGCCCAGAAAACTGTCACACTTACCTGAAACAGGTGTTTACTTTTAATATTTGCAGACAAAAACAACGGCACAAGCAGTTTCCTCATCCTTCAATTTAATGCTAATAAGGGAAAAAAAACCTCTATGTTCTTGTCAAAAAGGAACCTGCCGCTTAAGTGAAAAAGCAGAAGTCGGCTGCTTTATAAATAGCCYAGGAATCTGACATTGGCAAGCGATCAGGAATGTTAATTTCATGACTTATCTTTTCTTACTTGAAATTCTAAAAGCCATTAACTTGGCAGGGGAATTCACACTTTTTTCTAAAAAAGGTATTATTTCGTACTTTTTGTTCCAAACAAAAGATGGAATCACCACTTCAAAAAAACTCTTAAACACGCCATATTTTAATACTTTAGTCTAAAATATTAATTAGATTAGTCAGTTTAGTAATACTGAAAATACTTTGTTTGGGTTCTTCATGCTCAGATTTCAGGGCACAATTTGTAGCACTAAAAGTGGGGGTAAGTAGAACTAACACATTCATATTAAGTAACTATTTCATAAATCCTCACTTTGCAGAGCCAATACAGTAACAACTGAGAGGCTGCTCCTTCTTCTAAGACGTGGCATTTACGGAAGGACAGCTGGGAAGCCCCATGCATGATATCTTTTTAAAGGCTTTTTGGAGTTTCAAGACTGAAAGTATTRGACCCAGGATAATGAAGATTAATTGAAAACGACTGGTAAAAATATCTGAAAACCTAAATGTGACAAGTCCTAATGAGCACATAGGCATAAAATTCATGGGGAAATTAAGATTCAGTACAAAAATCTCCAGAATGCCATGAACTAGATAGCTTTCTCTTTGAATCCTATTAGCTCAATGCTAATTTCTCAGCTTCTCCTATTAATGGGAGGCCCAGGGAAACCMGGCGAGCTCAGTCACTCAAGTGGAACAGGCAACATTCAGAGGAAGAACCTGCCAACGCTTTGTGGGAGGCTTCACTCCTGCGTTACTGGAGGTTGCAAATTTAATCACGCACAAGTTGCCAGCCTCAGTTTCCTCAGAGGGTTCACTGAACCCTGACAGCTTAACCAGGAAAAAAATGCTGTATATAAAAAAAAAACCCTGTAAATAGAATTGGTGGAGGGACACCGGCTAAAAATAACAAGCAGATTTTTTGAGTGCTTTGAAAAAAACAAAGGTGCTTATGTATTTTTAGAAATATCCACGTATCACTCCCCTTCTTGAAGTGAATTTCAAGGAAGAGCATGGAAAGGCTCCCGGCTTTGTTAAGAAGCTAACAGACTAACCCAGGATGGTTCATGGTTCTTCCCTGCGCTGATGGCTCCTTAGGRAGCAGATGCAAAAGCCTTTCCAGTCGAGCCTAATCCTGGGGCACCAGCTCTACTGAGCCTTCCCTCTCTCCCTGGCCTCCTCCTCATCCTCTCCAATAACCTGTGTGCAAGTCCCCACTGCCACCCACTCACCCTTCTCATTGCATTCAGCAGCTCTGAGCTTTCCACACTCCTCCCTGTGGAGAGGGAAAGGAAGCAACTTCAGCTAATAGCTCTGACACTTCTCACCTGATATTCATTTCTTAAATGCAAAGACTATTAATGGAATCATTCTACAGATACAGAAACAGTCACAGAACATTAAGAATCCAGATGAGTCTGATGCTAAGTTTAGTAAAAGTCAGCAGAAAAGAAACACGTAAAGGCAAATGAACATGGAAGACTATTTCAGAAGCACAAGCAGCCRAGAGTGCAAGTTTACTTTATAGTGTTCAATTATACTATTGAACAGAATTCTCTGTATGATGCTAGTCTCCCCCTTCCTTCCCTTGCCCCTTGAAAGTTTCCTGGGCTACAGGAAATAAACTTTTTGTCTAATTAACCAGCCACACACTAGCGTTAACTCATAGCACTGTAACTCACGTCACTTTACCCAGTACTACTAAAACCTGGAAAAAAAGGCTCAAGTTTAGGGAAAAACCCTCAATTAGCCTTGTTTAGCCTCAACATGACTCAGACGTGCTCTTGGGCAGCATTTTTGGAAATCCACGTGGTGAATGAAGCCACTGCAGAGCCGTGCTGGTGCTGGCAGGAGAGAACATCTTTAAGGCTCGAAGTGGGCAAGCTAAAATTCCGCATTCAAACGCTATTGTTTTAGAAAAATTTAAAACCAGAAGTGTTACTTTGACAACRTAAGGGATGGTGGTGCAGGGGCTGTGTTATCTTTTGCTTTGCTCGAAGCGGGAGAACACACGCGAGTAAAATGGGCTGGTTAAAAGAGGAAATGATTGACACGAYAGTTGCAGCTGAGGTTTATACCAGTTTAGAAAACATCATCCTGCAAAATATATCTACCCTTTACCTGTCAACTCCTGTAATACCCGAGCATCTTACAAGCAAAGCCAAATTAATTTTAAATTATCTCCTGGGGTCCTCTTGCTTKGCTTGTCTTTCTATTTCTTCAGGAATAACCACAACACTGCTCAGAAGGCTGCATCTCGCTGGGTCCCCAGCCACGAATTTCATCCAAAAAACACAGCTAAAGGGAAGGATCCAAAGCCAGCACAACACATCGATCTTCTATCACTTATATATTACTACATATCACTAATATGATCCATTTCTTAATTAAAAATGTTTTCCGTGCATAATTTTGTTAAATTGTCTATCTGGCACCATTTTCTGCAGCTACAGTAATACAAGTGGAAAAAGYGAAAAGAACTCCAAACAAACAAGACCTCAGATTCTGCCTGTCTTTACACTCTTCACTGATCAGCCATTTGTATGAAGTAGAATTTTAAAATGAAACACTAACTTTTTACATCTGGCAGCAAGGCTTTTGTTTCTAACTGCCTTCTCTCAAAACTATTGTGATAAATGGGAACAAAAGCACTTSTTTTATGTCTACTCTTATGACTATCGGGCTCAAAAGTATTGACTGGGCAACGTACTTATGGGGAAAGCAAATTATTCTAAGCATTAGATGACRAAAGGATATCATATTTCTTATGGAAAGTTTTGGAAAACAAAATAGAGCCATGAGACCAACATTAGAAAAGCAAGAGTTTCAGCAAGGATGAAGTGCATTCTGCTAAATTATAAACAACTATCGTGACAAAGAAAGTCCTTAAAACCTACCCAGCTTGACTGCTTGCCAATGTGCAAACAGTAACTGTGTACACAAAGCTAAATGTACAGAAGCAGGAAGAAGTCTGGGAAGTAGCAGGTTTAAAAAACATTAACCATRCACAGAAGCTAACTAAAATTTTTTGTCATCTTTGTAACCTGCTTCAGTTTTAAAAATCAGATGTCTTGAGTGAATAAAGTTCAGTGTGGAAAGCTCTTCTAGCCAGAACTATTTTATGTATCTAGGCAAAACAAACAGCACAACTGACAGGGCAGCATGGGACTTACTAGAGGCTGATAAAAACTGAGTCACTTAATTTGAGCCCATCAACCTTGGTTTATGTAGTTCTAGTCTATCAGCAGAAATCACGTGGCAGAAGAGACGGGATCACAGCAGGGCTGAGGCTGGGAGGACCATGAAGAGCTGCCGTGGGGCTGCCACGGCCACGGCMGGCGCCGGCCGCCCCGCTCGCGGCGCCGCGGCTCAGGCCTGCGGAGCACRGAGCCAAGGCTGCCTCCGCTCCTCTCTCCCAGCCGCTCGCACGGGCCTCATTTCTGAAGCCAGATCCTTCACCTTTCAGAGTGATGCTCTTGTGGAAAATGTAGATTCAACTGCTGCAGTCTTACGTCTGAGAAAAAAAAACCTACGCATGTCCCCCAGCCTTTTATTCAAACTTAATGGATAGAGCAGGACTTTACTTAAGCTAAAACTCCTGAGGTTTCCTCTGAAGCTGGAAGAACAGGAGAATGCTCTTCCAGCAGACCTAGTTACCCAATGCACCCAACCACAGAGGAGCCTGGCAGTGCTCTGCCTGTCCTGCCCCTCTACGTGGGGTCTCCAGCACAAGGCCCTTTCCCCTGACAGCATCACAGCTAGGACCAGGGCGTGCAGCAGTAACCACCTACCGGCTCTCCCAGCAGTAACAATCTGTCAGCAATTTACACTAAAGCTTTAGGAAGTAAAACATTTTGCATGCGGTTTAATGAAGAAGTAATACTTTAAGATGATTAAGAGAAAGCAGAATATTCTTTTAAATATATAAATATATATCACTAATGGTCATTAATGAGCTTTCAATCATCAAAGTACTTCTCAAGGTTCTGCTAGACTTTCTGTTACTAGGAAAGATTTGCCTATTTAAATCACAATTATATTTGACACTTGATTCTGAATTCTTTTCTATTCCTAAGCAATTCCAAGTGTCCCCCTCCCCCCGCCCCCCCCCCCAAAAAAAACATGCCATGGCAGGGAAAAAAAAAACGTAGCTCTCTCCAGGACTACCTTTTTCTTTCTAAAGAATGCGACAAGGGTTAAAAATTTCTCAGGTGTAAAGACATGGCAAAGGGATTTGRATCAGCAAGGATGTCACACGTAACAAAGCTTTTATACACCTCATAATAAAAGTTGGTATTTCTTAAATATCTGTATAATGTTTCCTGAGGATTCATTAACTGGCAGGAATGCTTTGTAAAAGAATGCTTTGACCTCCATACTACAAGTCCTGGACAAGCGTAGGACCACGAGCAAAGAGATTCAATGCAAGCAAGGGAAACGTTTCAGGTTTYATGTAAGTGCACCAGTCGCCCTTCTCCTGGCTGGCTGCTCCCTCTCGAGGCAGAGATATGCAAGTTCTTTCTGCTCTTCTTGAGCTCGGAATTTCAGTGCAAGTATCTATCTTCTCTCTACAAGACTAGCTCTATACTAACAGAAATAATAAAACTGTAATTAAAAAAAATGTGTGGAACAGTATTGTTTTTCTTAGCTAGTGATAATGCACTGCCCAGCAKCCCCAGAGGTCAAAATTAGCTACTACCTGCTTTCACGCTAGTGTTTTCCTGCAAAACCCTATTCCATGATAGCTATCCAACTACAGAAGTAAGTCTGTTTACTCCACTAGTTTTGCACCACTGTAACTAAAGGCTAAACAATATTTTTATTATAAAGTTGCTTCTAATTGCTGGGCATTTATTTCTATTTGCGCTTGATAATCACTGGTTGAKCAAGTGAACTTACATTGATACACTGGCTGGTGCAGTCACTGTAAATGTCTTCCTGGGGGTTTGCAATGACATTAAAGCAGCTTTTAAATCAATTTTAACTGCCAAAACGCACCTTAACTTGCAGAGCCAAAGCCTGACAGTGAGAGACAAAATACTTAAGTGTGATCCATTGCCACTTTGTAAGTGTATTAATTACACTGCCTGTCTTGAAGGCTAAATCACCCAGGGAACTACAGCTGTCAATCAGCTCAAAGTCACTGTGGAAACACATCCAAGATGAATGACTCAGAGCCCATCAACACATCCATGCAAATGGCCTGGGATCCAGGGGAAGCAGGACGCCCACCTCCCAACCAYATACATGGGTTGAGCTGTTCAGCACCAGCAAGGCCAAGATATTCCCTTCTGCAAACACCCAGGAACTCTTGAGAGGAGCTAGAAGACTTCAGCAACACACCAGAGGMGAGGAAGCATTTGTAAGAAGAGGCACAGGACAGATGACTGCACTCTTCAGCGCTTCCGTGCAAACAGAGGTGGAATTTAGATGCCTTTGTCCACATACAGCTCTAGTACCAAGTGCTCAGAAGCAGAACAGAAGCCTGGTAAGGTGGTTCTTAATYAGGGGGAATAAAAAGCTTGACAAAACACAGTGGTTAGAAGTTGAAACCAGACAAACTCTGGTTTTGCATGCAGAGATTCATTTGTCAAGATGTCAAAAAGTCAACTCTTTGGACTTTTTTTTAACCAGCTTAACATGTAAAATGAAGCCAAATAGTCACCTTGTGAGCAAAAGGCACTGTGCACAGAGCATGTGCACACTATGCCATGTGCCTGGGGGTCATGTGAATTTTAGCCTGTTTCCCAAGTCAACTGTTTGGCACAGCCTGTCTGGCAGAACAGATGTGGCCTGAGAATTCACCTGCTCTAGGTCAGACAGAGCTTTTGGAAAAGCAGGAAATAATTTGGGGAACTTCTATGGCCTCCCATATATCAAGTGATCAGAATATCTCACTTCTCCCTTCTTTGTTTAAAATCTACAAGACATAATTAACATAGAAAATATACAGAGGAAACTAAACCAGACACCTAGGGAAGTGTTAAAGTCATCTAATTACTTTCAAAAAAAAAGTATTTGACTGGAATATTTTGGTCACTACAAAAATGACTSCATTTGACATTCCACTTCAATAAGCTTAACAGCCAAGCATATACAGTATTATTTAAACAAAAAAATTCTAATAAAAAACATACAGTAGTGAAACCAACGGTGTTTATGAAGTCAATGATAAATCTAACTCACCTGACCACTTCAACATAAGCAGTTCATACCTGTGAGGACAGCATCAATACTAAAAGACATCAAATCTAAAGGACATTTGTCTCTTGAGAACCTACTGATCTACTAATCAAAATGGTATTTCAGACTATACAGTGATTATCTGCAGTCCCTCCATAAACTGAAAGCCATGTAGATTTAGGATGCTGCACCCTATCATAATGTAAGGGCTATTTAAAACTTTTTTTAAAAATTATTTTACAATAATGTATGTTTGATTCACACAGAAATATAGTTGACTTTGAACCTTCTACACTTGAAGTTCATGCTCTGTGAAGGGACAATATAAAAATCACGGAAATAATTCACTACTCTTACTTATGTCAGAAGTCCCTGACACGAGCTTTAAAAGGAATTTACCCAGCCCAGTCTTTAACTTGGGCCAACAGCTGTGTTTTGAACCAGCCAAGCTTTTAATAACTCTAAGTTATTAGCAAGCAACCCACCTGGTCAATGTCTGCATTCCGAGGCAGGAAATACACAATATTGTTGGTGATCTTCTTGGAGAGCCTGAAAATTTCAAATGTTGAAACCAGTAAAGGAAAAAACACAAAAACAAATGGCAGGAAGCAGYTGTTTTAAATTCACACATTTTGAAAGCACACCTCAAATTTAGCAACATTTAAGCATATAAGTTCTTTTAGCTAGACTTTTTGGAGTGCGAGTCATAGTGTTTTCCATAGCATGGGAATTAATATTGCCCAAACAACAGAAAGTCTGTTTGGCCACTACTGCCTCACAAAACTAGAAAAACAACTTCACTATAACTCCTTTTGCAAATATGACTATACATATATAAAGAGCACTTCATATTTGAAAATAACATACCAACACCTTCACCACTGAACGAGAGTTCGCCAGCAYCGTAAATAATTAGTTGAATTTTATGCATTAAGCGAAAGGGTTAGTACCTGGTCTGCATTTTTCTGTGCTTATCCAAGTCACAGGCAAGTGCTGTAATTTAAATAGTCTCAAGGCACTGTTTTAAATAAAATGTGCCTTTCATGAACTGAGTAAAAATGGAATTAATGGCATATTCATAGCTCATGTAACTTTGTTGCCTATACACACACACACCCCACGTGTTTACCTGATAATATCAGTATATTTTCATAAAATAACATGAAGGAATTAAAAGTATTCATGCATGGGATGTTCTTAGGTTATTAGAAGTCTTCAAGAGTTCCCCCCCACCACCATATACGAATACCTCTGACAGTTTTTAAAGTTATCTAAATTATGTTTTTTTCCCTTAAGAAAATCAACTTGATCTAGCCAAGRTCTTGCCATGGAGAGAGGGGCTACACAAATGTGGCACACCTGCAACTTCAAGTGCAGTTAATATCTTTGCACGTCAGCCTATTGCAGTGACATAGAGGAAACCCTTTATAAATGACTGGGAATTGTGGCTCCAGAGACAGGCAAACCAAAGGATATCCATCGGGGCAAATCATGGTTTGAATGTCGAAGATTTCAGCCGTGGCATAGTCGGGCCCTCCCCAGGGAGGGCTCAGAAACACGACATCTGCTTGGAGCTCGGAGGCGAGCACCATGAAGTCCCCACACCTGAACTCGATGCGCTCTGCCACGCCGTACACTTGGGCGTTGTTCCGGGCAAGGCTGAGCTTCTCGGGATCGATATCGATGGCGATCACTGCAAATCGAGGAGAGGAAACACGAAAGGAACAACTGTGAAGCACAAGCTACTGAACAGGTGCTACCCAAGTGCCAAATAAATCACCAGAACAAGGATGTTCTTGTGTAGCCACCAGATACAGATCACACTGATGACTTGCTTTTGTGTTCGTATTTTCAGCATTTACAAATCTCTTTTGTCACACAGCAATGGGGATTATTCCAGTTTTGTAACAGAAATAAGGGCCCAGTTCCTCGGTGGGGAACAAGTGCCCCCCAACTCTGCAGCAGCAGCAGCAGCAGCTTTCACCAACACTACCAACCACTGCACTTACAAAACAGCAAAAAGACTAACAGAGTTAAAGTTGGGAGGCACAGTTGCTGTTACAAAACCAGAAAGCCTTTTTTTTACCCCCACTGACATACTGTATTACAGTTTTGAATGTCATCCATGTAATACCCTGACAATCCCATCTCAGCTGAAGTGGGCAGGTAATGGTGTTTGCCTAAGGGAGCAAGTTCTCCTCTCTCTGATCTTGGTAGAAGCAAAACAGCTTAAACTGTGTTGTCTAGAAACCTACTCTCCCCATTTGTTAAAGGCAAATATTTATCTCATGGCCTAGCACACTGTACTGTAAGCAAAAAAAATCTAATACAGTACAAGAGACAGGATTCAAGGGCAGTACACGATCACAGAAATATAATTTTGCCAGCAAATGAAAAAAGAGAAATGACATTTAGAAAATACTTACAGAATGGATCAAAGCCTACCTAATTTGATGCAATACAAACTGTCATCTTTCTTGCTTAGAAAGCACTCAGAACTGTAAAACGAACTAGTGTTTTACACCAGAGTGTTTGAGGAGTATAAAATATCAGGTAGTCAGTACTACAACATCATGATTCACTATATTTCCATGAGCTGGCAACAGGAATTTAAGCTAAAGTATCAAGTCATCATCACTTTTCAGTATCTGGTTCTGCTGCATCTGCAAATTACCCCATTAAGCTATTTTAAGCTCTATTCACATGTGATTTGCTTTTGAGAATAAACATTTAGCTCAACTACTGAGAAAAATAAGAAACTTTGTGGTGTCACTGCAAGACAGAACTCAGCCACTACCACCAGCCTTCAGAGCATCCCATTAGAGTAGGTACTAAACCATGTAAAATAGTTACTGAYAAGTACAACATATATTTAACATTATTTAAAACACAAAAGCAGTTGTATCGTCAATTTTAAAACCATATAGATCACATTATGATTCTGATGAAGCAAAAAGCCTTTTTCTTCAGAAGCACTGAAAAAAGGGAAACTAGGTGAACAAAGTCCTATCTACATTTTCAGGGGACAAAAGGGACAAAAAGGAAGGCTGAGAAGTGCTGTATGCAACACCTACTTACCCTTTTTAGAGGTCAAAGCAAATTGAATGGCATTTCCTCCAACTCCACAAAACGCATCCACTATCACGTCGCAGTCGAAYGACTGACTGACGCGCACTGCAATGTGCTCAGCGATCTTCTCAGGAGTAACAGAAAACCAACCCTCTGCAGAGGAAATGGAAGTGTTTGCAACTCCTTTCAAGGTAACCCACACCAAAACTCCAACATCTCCCTTCTCTCCTTCCCCTCATGCCTTACTCCAAAAAAAACAAAAAAAACCAAAAAAACCACCCAAAATACCTACACAGATGAAGACCAAACATTAATTCCAACTATTTTTGCTYAGCACACTTGACCAGGAAATTACAGGCTTTCATGTTGCTGAGCTTTGGTCAATAAAGCAATCTGCTAAACATGCTAAGTCTGAAGTGAACTGATATGCCAGAAGTTCAGCAAATGTTTTGCTGAACTAAGTGCTGAGGATTGTCAAGGACAGGTCCACTGAGGCAGCCCCCAAGAGCTTGACATATCAGTCACAAGTCCGCTCTGTAACAACCAGAACCAGAAATATATTCTCCCACACATGACACCAGTGATATCTGGTCCACCAAATAAGCTACATGTTCATATGGGAGAGCACTGGATAAGCAAAGCTTAAAAACAAGAACCTCCCCTCTTCTGCCCCCAACAAAAAAAGCAGCAATCCTAATTGTTCATTTACTTATGAATTAATGATTTGGAAACAATTTCCACGTAAGCAGAGAAAAGAGTAAGCTTGAAAATGACTGCTGAAAGACATTGCATGCTAATAGGACAAAATTAGCCTCAGCAGCATATTTCAAGTTTCCACAAAACAATTTCATAAAATATATGTATATTTTATGTCAGAGCCCTGACAAGCCAAATTTGGGAGCATCCCAAACTACAGCAGACATCAGGACTAACACAAACAGCAGAAAGCGCAACTTAAACCCGAGCCTTTTGCTCATCTACTCAGTGGGTCATGGTGTTTATGCAGAGGTGCAAACAGGCACTTGAAAATGCTCCTTTTTCAAGGCAAGGAGTTATAAATTGTAAGAAAGACCCTAGCTTTGGATACATCTTACACCACCAGCCTGCACACTGAGTGCTAGACACACCTCTGTCTAGTTTAATTCCCTCATCAAACCGTGAGAACAGCCTGTAACGTTGTGCCCAGTACTTGGCCAACTCAGGATCAGCAGCAATCTCAGCAGGAATATCTCCCGGTGCGATCCTTTTCCTTCTCCTCCTTTTTTTCTGCTGCTTCTCTGCAGTCTTTGTTTCATCTGCAACTGGAAGACACTGCAAAAGTTAGGAATTACTGTTCACGTAGGTTAGGAACATAATCGGTAGGTAGAAAATTGGTAAGATGTAAAATGCTGAAGTCAAACACCACTGCTAGAATTCCTTCATTACTGTTCACCAGATCATGCAGGTCMGTGGTTTAAGTAGAATAAAAAAGGCCCCTAAATAACAATGGAAAAAGGTAATCTGTCTTATCTGTCACAGTCCAGGACATCACAAGATTTTCCCCTGATTTAACTGTCTCCACACATTAGACATCTTCAGTTGATGGCAACAAGTGCTACACTGAGCAAATTGGATCACAGATCAACTTAATATCTATATACAGAACAACAAATTGGACAAAAGAGTTTTACACTAGAAATTCACGGAATTGAACTAGTATGGAAAGAGAAAACTATATGCAGAAATCTGAAAAATACTCTGTTTTCAGATTACAGTGCTAAATTAAAAGGTTCATCTTGTAGAGGATTTTTCTCCTAGAAAGCCATATTACTGCCGCATGTCCCATAAATCTTGAAACTGAGCAAAACCCAACACTCCATGCATTTATCTGAAATTAATTACCCTTAAAGGAGAAGAAAATGACATAAAAAAGGACTTGAGATTTGTTATGTTGTGCATAGGACCAACAATGGCTATTTATCTAAAAAGAACTACTTTTAAAGACAAGACCTACGATTTTTGGTGCTACAGAAGTGTCAGTTCCAGCGCTACATTTCTAAGCCACTCTCACCACACAGAACTTGGACTAAATAACAGTCTCTTTTAATAAACAGAATAAAGGCAAAGTAAAGCTCCTTTCCCAAACTACTACATGTATTTCACCACCAATGCATTTCCAGTCTGTAAGAAATAGCCGTACCTTGGCTTACATCTTCTGTTTCCACGCGAAGATAATCGGGAATATCCAGAGAGATCAACTKCCTCCCTGAATCACAGGTCTCCCTTTCCACACCCTGAGAATCAGGGCCACTGGCTGGGATTTCTTTTGTTTCCTCTTTGAGGTTATTCATTCCAAGTTCACAAGCAACCACAGTGGAAGACTGTGGTTTGTGTTTTTCAGCACTCAGTTTCACGTTTTGTGCAGTGACACTTTCCTGCTCCTCCGAGTTGCTGCTTGTAGAAGATTCGTCTCCTTTATCCTGAGGGATGGTTGTCTGGGATGCAACTTCCTCCGGAGGTTTAGTAACCTGCTTCAGGAACAGCTCTACCTKGAATTGTCAAATATCAAAATTAGACTTTGCTGTTAACCAGGTACARAAATATAGTTCAAAAACTTCATAGTTTAACAGTATCCTATTACGGGTATAACCTATCACATGTCTGTGAATGCTTTACTCTTTTCAAAATACAAAATATTCAGAAGCATGTGCTCGTCCTTAACTGCTCCCTACGTTCAATATTTTCAATGAACTATATTGAAACTAGATAGCAGCTACATGCAAAAGAAACTCCATGAAACCAACTGATAAATGCAACAAATCATTCACACAAATATATGAAGTTTGCCAACACAAGTGATCAAGATTATTACCTTTTCATTATCTYTTCTCTGATCTGCATTACCTTACAGATCCAGGTAAACAGGGAAAATTAACTGCATACAATATAGTTCCCTCATCTCCAAACCGCACCAAACAATTCATGTATTACAACATTTCACAGAACAGTAGAAAATTCACTGTTAGAACTTAATGAGATGTTGGTTCAAACTCTTCAAAAATATATGCAGACACTCACTTTTAACATTACTATTATTCTGMGTGACACGAGGCCTATGGCATCAGAATGATTTCCTTATCAGAAGGTATGAGGAAAACTTTTTTCCTCCAAATAAGCATTAAGTTTTTCAAAAACTATGTAGATTTCAGATGCACAATGGCAATGATCAAGCTTTTGATCAAACATTGTAGCAATGGGATTTGAATTCAGAAAAAAAATGGTGCCAGCCCTAGAAAACAGAGTTTTTTAATCAGATACTAGTGAATGCCAGGCACCCCAGGAAAATGTGAGGTAATGTTTAAATACCAAAGCAAGAGATTTTAAGGATTCTTCTACTTGCCTTCCTTGTATTTTCTTAAGAGGTTAGTAACGCAATAGAGGTGAAAAATAGTTATAGGTACTACCAAAAAAGCTGATGCTGCTATACAGTGTTACAGAGTAGAGAGAATCAGGACTAAATAACAATTGCTGCAAGTCTACGGGATGAAAAGCCCTTCCTGACATTACATCAAATCAGTACTTAGATAACTGACACACGAAGAAATCGCACACTGCTCCTCTTCCGTAAAAGGAACCATCCCAGGGAAAAAAACAGTAATAAGGAATTGCACTAATTCCTCCTTGTACAAATGTTTTTTAAGTTTTTCTCACACTGCTGAAATGCCAGCACTAACAAGTGTGCTCAGATGCTATTTTAAATCAAAGATGATTTTACTGCTAACAGAAACCTCTAAAAGAATGATAATCCACACACCAGGAAGGACTTGCACACAGCTTCAATGTGAGGTTCACACTCTTCTTGACAGATTGCTGAGTGTCCTGCAATGTCTTCCCACATCCATCCTAACCTAACTGTTCTGCAATAAGGAAGAACCCCAGCAATACAAGAATAAAGAGCACCAAACTGACGTTTAAAGATGTCAACTACTCTGTATAATCTTTTTTTTTAATTTTCATAATTCAACACAGCTAATGGAAATGTTAAATCAATGAATTACAGAAAGACTAACAATTAAACCTACCTTCTTCAATGTTTTACTTTTTTGACAAGATGTTTTTTCAGGTTCTTCTGGAAAGAAGATGTGTGTGTTCTTGCTCTTTCTTGGTTTGCGCATGTCCAAAAACCTGGACTTCAGTTTTACATTTTTCTCTAGGTACTGCACGCTTCGGTGGGTGAAATCTGGAATTCCACCATACCTGAAATAAGAAAGGACTGACCATCACCTTAGTTGGCCAATTTCCCATCTGAAAGCTTTAACATGAATGCACATGTCTGGAAAATATYATTTAGACTACATTTGCTCTTTATGAGCAATTTATCCTCCCCTAAAAATTCTTTGAAAATAAATACAACCTGCAGTAGCTGCAGAGCATACCTGCCTTCCTGAGCACTGTRTTTTTATTTACTATTATTAAAACGTATCCATGTACTAAGTAATTTATATTGGCAATGCCTTGCCAGAGCCCTAGAGCTCAGGTGCAGTATACTGTAATTGTGGGTCAGCTATTTAAGAGATACTTCCTAGACCTATTTAACTTACAGAACAGCACATCTGCTTCAAAGCACTTTTAGTGTTCTTTAATTTACCTCCGTAACTTCAGGCCTTTTGCTCTTGCCCTCTCTCTCCTTCCTCCTCTTCCTTCCCACTCCCCTCCTTAAAGGTTTTATTAAACATTTATTAAGAGCAAAGGATAATTTTGAGAAAAAAATGCTTTCTTGTGAAGAAATGCTGAGGTTCTCTTAACAATTACTTGTGTCCTGTGCCRCACTTGAAGCCCAAAATAGAACAGGTTTCCTCAGGATCTTCCATTGGATTCTCATCCACATCCAGCTCATGACTAGAAAAAAAATGCAGATGAAGAAAAGTTACTGTTTAGAAAAACAAACAATCACACACTTGGTTTATAAATACRCCACTACAAAACTCACCTGTACAGAACATTTCCATGTTCACTTCAGTGAGATCTCCCACTGCTGAAACCACATGGGCAGATAACACCATGCAAACACATTACCWTTTTATCCCCATTCCCCATACGGAAGAAAAGAATATAAAGTCACTCCTCCGTYCTTTGATATTATAAATTTATCAAAAAAGAGAAATGACTGAGGCACAGCAGAGATTACCTTTTTTTTTTTTTTTATGATTTCCAGAGCACTGACTATATTGTTGACAACACATAATTCAGTCAAATGATACACATTTTTCAACACTGTTTTCTTATCTTTTATACTAAGATAAAGAAATTACCTCATCCAATTTAATAAGATTATCTCCTTCAGTGGTACAACAGCAGCAATGGGACACTGCACAGAGCTCAGCATCAAGGCCATAGATTCTTTTTAATGCAAAGGAAGAGAAATAGCAGCTGCTTGTTGTCAGGTAAAGTAATACACAGTGATAGAGGGACAGATGGTTTTGCACTGAGGTGGTCAGCCCCAGTAGAAGGAACAGTGGCTATTCCATCAGAAGGCTCTGGGCCTTCCTGCATTTGAGAAAATGAAACACGGCTTGCCTTCTCTTGAGTTTGCTATGTCTGTTTTCAGGAGGCTCTTCCTCTTCATCTTCGTTCTTGTTACCAAGCAGCAACTGTTCTTTGTTGTTCGAGTTTGATTGATATGAAACCTGTGAACCTGAAAAGGCAGATAAGATTAATCTCTTTTAGCTAATGCATTCCTTATCTTCCAGCCCTAAAAGCATATTTGGAGATTTTTCAAACAGCTGTATTGTCTAACTTCCTAAATCTGATAAACAGTGCTAAACCACACAAATCTTTATTTCGCTCAAAGAGCCGGCCCAACAATACAAGCTCCCACTAGCTTGGGCCTCAGCAATCCAAAAACGACACAACTTTCTAACACCTCAGCTCTCCTAGCAGGATAAAACATCTGCAAGGTACAAATTACAAACAGCTTCTTTCTGCTTCTCAGATTTCGTTTCCAGTTAAATAGTTCTTGAAGATTTTCACATACTTCTAATATAGGAGGATTCCAATRTCTTACCTTATTTCTTGTTCAGAAGGAGACTTTCCTTCCTTCTCTCCCACTCTAAGTCTCCTGTAAGGTCAAGATGACTGCACWTCCCTTCCATGGACAGTCACTAGCAATTCACTCAAAGGTCTCTCCATCAAAATGACATCAAGCTGCTGACACTAAGCTCACATACTCCATTATTCTCCTTCAGCAGAAGAAACCACATAAGAGTGAGGAAAGCTGTTAACTCTACTGCKTGCAGGGAACTTGCAGGGAACACTGACAGCTCCAACTGGCAGCCAGACTGTGGCATTCATGTTCATTGGCACTAGCTGCACATAAAYGAAGTTGGGCTTGTAAAGGTGACCGCAACTGGCTGGCCAATTAATGRCATGTTGGAATAGACCTCTGGAAGTCATCTGGTTCACAGTATGTTATGGCACAAAAAAAAGTTTATTTACAAGTATGGCATTCTTCAGACAAAAGGTAAAAAGAAACAGAACTACATTTTTTCTGTAGTTTTACGTTATTTTTTTTTTTTTTTCTCCTCAAAAAGTTGACCCAAAATAGGTCAGATTCACTAGAACATTAACCTGAGTTTTCTCTCTGGTCATCAGAAATAAATCAGTGAAACAGATAAGTAAAGATGGAACTGCAGTACCAAGACTAAAAGGGGGGAGGAAAAGGCACTACCACTATTGTCACTACCACTACTTTTAGCTCTCCCACTACATTTTGATGATTTATCATAAATATGTTTTGTTAAGATCACTTCTGGCTGAAGAACACATTCAAATATACAGATTTGACATGAGAAAGATCTTTCAGAGAATCAGAGGGAAGAAAAAGCCATTAAATCATAGAAGCATTCAACAAAAATACTTGAACCACATTTTCAAATGACATAGTAAAGCACCATCTCATTTTTTATACGCATTCTTCTAGCAAAATACCAAGAGAACCAATTTAAATGATTCTGTATTACCTGACTCGTTAATAGTTGCATTGTCATTGGAAGTCTTCCTTTTCCTGGTTCCTCCATCACATGGCTCCTTTTGGCTTGAAACAGTAGGACCCTGGTTTTCACTGTCAGATGAATGATGCTTTTGAGGATCATCACAGGTAACTGCTGGAGCTGCCCTGCTCTGCTCCACTTCCTCSGAGTTCAGGCTTATGTTACAGATCCCAGAGATTATTTCACTGTGGGGCTCAGCAGGTGAAGAAGGTGCTTCCTCACGTTTGATGTCAGAAGGTGTCAGCTCCAGGTTCAACACTTTACACTCAGCATCTGGGCTAATGAAGTCTGTTTTTTCCRAAGGACCAGTGTCCTGGGCTACCCCGTCACCCTCCACATTGCACGAGCTGTCTGTGGTCCATCCCTGACTTGTCCAGTATTGAAATTGTTCCCAGTAATACCAGTACAGTTCCCTGTAATGCTGCTCCCACTCTTGCTGGGTATCAGGAGAGTTCCAAGGTTCAGAGGTTGCTATGGCCTCAGATGACTCTCTATGCTTCTCCAGCCAGCTCTGCCAAAGAAGGCTCTCTCCGTACTCACTCCAGTACTTCTCCCATTTTTCTTTAAGCTCACCCTGGAAGGCATCATTAATAAGAACTGCTTGACTTTCACAGTTCTCTTCATTTATATCCTGAATTTTATTCCCCTCTTCAGTTTGCTCTGAAGCTGGGGCTGGCTCATCAGAAATGGATTGGTTATGGTGCTTTTGCTGTAACTCTTTTTTCTTTTTCTTCTTCTTTTTCATGATCTTCAGGTAATTTCTCTTTTTATAATTGTCTACTGCCTAAAATATAATGAAAAAGAATATATTCAGAAGCCTACAGCATATATGCACTCTCCCCCTGTCCCTCTAAGCACATTTCTACCTCTGCTGTAACCCCACTGTAACATTTCTGCCTTCAAAAGGCTCAGCTATCAGTGTTACATGGATCCCAAACTCAACTTTGATATGACCCAGCTGCATAACGTTGACTCACACTTCTGAGAATGCTGTGAGAAACTGAGAAGATGAGAGGCAGAATCATAGACTCTGATTGTTAAGAAACATTAGTAGCTATCCCTGTATCAATCCCTAGTTTTGTTTCACCAATGGTAGACTCTGAAGAAACTGGTTTCAGAGAACTGACACTAGCATTTCACTCATACTCCTCGTAATGCCATGTTAATGCAGACTGCAAAAGCACAGTTAACAGTAGATTAAGAAACATGTATTATTTTCCCATTCAAGTTTCCCTTTCTTTGAAGTACAATACTATGTATATCACATATTACATATAAGACAAATTACATACTTTCCGTTTAAATTCAGACACCTGGAACATCTATTTACGCGCCATGTTTTTAAATAACATCTAAGTTTGTCCTATTCATTTACTAAATTCATCAGGGGATGATCCCAGAGCACTTTACCCYAAGGTACCTTTTCATCTGTAGGGAGCTCTGCGAACTGGACCACGTGGATACCCCAATACCTTGTTTCATACAGCACAATCTAGTCCTCCTCTATAGCTGGACTGCTATCTACAGAAGGCAAAGCACCCAAGTCTCATTCCAAGATTGGGTACTTTGAAAAGACTCACTCTCTCCATTAGAGATAGGGAAAAAACAAACAAAAAACCAGCTTTATATTTCTATCTAAAGACAGATGCCTAAAGCAAAGTGCCAACACCCACGCTTACTTTCGTGCGTACAAGTTGTCCTGAGATAAATGTCATTAGCAGCATTTTTAAGCCAGTTCTCTCTAGCAGCAAGAGCTATACAGATGGSGAAACATAAACCATAACAATATTTAGTTCATCTGATGGACAGTTTTACAGTCTGGAGACTGCAGTGCTGCTATGACTATGTTGCTAGAGTGCTCAAGCCAGGCAACTTAAAGCCAGCTCGGCTTTAACTTGTCCCAACTGAGGGACAAATGTGCCCCTGGCTTCTGCAGTTTCAAAGCACAAAGTAAGTTTTACCACCAAGTCCCTGTGAGCTGCCTGCCCACCGAACTGCAGAGGCAGCCCCAGACTCTTCATAAGCTCAGCCTCTGAGTCCAGCTCAGCTTCTTCTTCCAACGCATGATTCGTGCCAGTCTTTAACGTTGTACCAGGGCGACAGCTTTCTTCCTCAGATGCTCCTATGAACAATTACATGAAACAAACATAATCTGACTTGAGCACTATAACACAGCAGTCTGGCTACAAAAATCATCAGAATTGTCCCTTAACTTTCCTACTTGCAAGTTTCCTTTCCCGTTTAAGTTTCTAATAGATATTGGAACCTATTAATAGATATAGTATATTTCATCTCGTGATTTGGTCCAAGAAAGCAGCAATAATTAATACAAATSCATTTTTTTATATAATAGCTTTGGACCCAAACATTAGTGCTGGCATGAATTCTGAACTTTTCAATTGTGTCATTATTTCAATCTCATTAGTTTCTCTCTTTCAGGAACACCTTCATTATCCTAAAAAAAAAAAAAAAAAGGAAGACTAAATTTTCAAATGAGACCTCAATTTCTTTATGCTTTTGCCCTCAGGATGATATGCACACACATACACATTATTATGAAAAATACCAAGTAAATGTAAATAGAGATCACAAGTGCACTAGCTGTTAACAAAAAGAAAAGCTAATTTCAAATACTTGCAAAGGAAATTACAAAATTGCCCAAAAAACAGAAAAGCTACATAAAAAATGCTCTGCAGGACTTTTTGCATATATCACAACAGCTTTAAAATATGAGACTGCCACTAAGCTAACAAAAGTGGCAGAGGTTTACAGAAAATATAAATGTTTTGGGTACACAATCTAATTTGTTGAGAAATATGTGATTATCAATTGTATTACTTCCTGCATTTCTGTCTCATCTTTTAAGTAACATCATATAAACATAAATGACAAACACCACTGACAAAGCAGGCACTGTATTTTGATGAAGCATATTGAATACAGATTTGATTTGGCTTGATAAAACTTGAAAAAATTAAAGGTTTTTTTTTTGGTCAGCATATATATACTGCCAAATTATCACAGAGCACAAGTCTCCTTTTCAAATGATTACTTTCACCAGARCTCAATCATATATCTACAAAAATGTGGTTCAGATTCTGCTTTTTCATTCCATTTACATTTTCTCCACCTAAGCAGCAATATTCTTTCTCAGTCTCAACAGACACTCCTTTCTGTGGAGGCTTCCTCCTCTGAAAGGAACCTATTAMACGATGGTGGAGCTGGCAAGAGAGTAACGGAAAAAGAGATATTGAAGAAATTATGTTTAGAGAGGCACGTGCGGGGAATTCTGTGGACAGAGCAAGGGAATGGAGCTGAACTTGCCAGAGCTTGCAGCAATGCCCTTAGAGAAATACAAGGATGCTGAGCAAGACACCAGTTGCTATGATCCTCATCACACGCTCTCTCGTGTGCCTGGGAGCTGCAGCTTCCACATCAGGATTGCTGCATCTCCTCCAGTTTGGGAGCAACTCTGCTGTGGAGCAGATTACTCAGTAAGAACTAACATCCTAAACAGGGGCAGAGGCAGCATGAGGGCAGTGCCCCCAGACCACAGAGGATCCAAAGACCCTCCCGAACATAAGTTTTTCCTGATTTAGGGGAGTAGAAGAGACTACTTGAGAGCAGGCCAGGCCCTTGGGAGCCAACCTGCTTTCTGCAGAGCGAGGGTGTCTGTGGATGGAATAAGCACTGCACTCAYCCTGCATATCAAGATTCTACTAACTTGTGAATCGTAACTTAGCACTTACATAGTTTTCTCCTGCTCCCACAATCAAAGCAGTGGAAACAAGCAAAAATAACCACAAAGATATATATGTTGGCAGCTACCCAGTCCTACTGCACCTAAAATAACCAAACATAACTAATTTTTAGCATCACTGCACATCCTATCACAGTGCATTTCAGTATCTTACCTGTACTATAATTGTCATCTTTGATATAGAATCCCTTTAATCCCAGTTTATATAATCTTCGATCCCTGAAAAAATGGAAAAATCATTGAAGCAGACAGATAAACAAAATCTAAAGCGGATAATCAAAAGAAAAGCAGAGGAAAAAAATGTGGAAAGCAACACTTTAAGGACTGATGAGCTATGTAAAAGGCCTATAAAAGAGATGCCCGGAAAATGCTGTTGCCATGCAGAGTACTTGTGCATCAGGCCCTGACACAAGCAGGATTCCACTTATGTCCCTTTACAACATCCCCAGTCCAAACCCATCCCCAGCTGTGCAAGGAGCACTGGGTCCCAGCGCTTTCTCCAGACATCCTATACTTGCAACACAGCCCCTCTTGGGTCAATCTACCTCCCTGTGGCTCAGAAACTTCTCCTTTATAGCACAGGGAGCTTCCAACTCTTCTCTCACGCAGCTCGTTCGCTCTCCAGAGCTGCTTGAGGCCTGTGGTCACCTCCAGGGCACGGAAAACCCATCCCGACACACTRAAAACTATCAGACACAGAGCTGAAACTGCAGCCTGGGCCCGGCGGCGGCAGAGCTGCTGCTCCAGCGCGTGGCGCCAGGGAGGAAACCGCCTTTCCCRGACGGGGGCAGCAAGGCCCAGGCACCGAGGCCCGTTCCGGGCGCGCACAGGCTCCGCTCCTGCTCCAGGCCGCGCTCGCCGAGCCCGCCGCTGCTTTGGCGTCTTTCCATTTCACGCGTTTTTATTCCGCCTGCAGCCGCTGCCCCAGCGCGCGGAGCGCACGGGCCCGCAGCGCCGCCCGTCCCCAGCCCGCACCGCCGAGCCCGCGCCACCGCCCGCCGCCTCCCGGGGAGCCGCGCCCCGCGCCCGCCGCTACTCACTCGACGAAGGCGCGCGAGCAGAGGCAGCGGATGCCGCCGGCCGCGCCCGCGCACAGCAGCAGCTCCGCCACGCGCCGCCCGCGCCCCGCGGCCGCCTCCACCACCATGGCCGCCCAACGGCCGCCCAACGGCCGCGCCGCCTCCCGCCGGAAGTGACGCGGCGGAGGCCCGCTGCCAAACAGCCCCACCCGCGCCTCAGTCCCCGCCCCCGCGCCTCATGCCCTCACGTCAGTCCCCGCCCCTCGCGCCAGGCCCCGCCCCCGCGCGCCAGGCCCCGCCCCGCGCTGCCCGCGCCGCCTGGCGGGGGCGCCCGTGTCGCGCTCGGGTCCCGCGTCCCCCCCGCTCCGCCTGCCCTGCCAGTCAGTCCCGCCACCCGTCCCTGTGTCCCTGTGTCCCCCAGCCGCGGTCCGGGCCTCGCGCGTGGCMGTGTGTCAGCCAGCCGGCCAGTCCGTCTGTCTGGAAAAGGGGCCTCTGTCCACCCGCCCATCCCTCTCTGTGCCAGTCTGTCGATCAGTCTGTCTGTCTGTCCGGTGGTCAGTGTGTCCTGTCAGCCCATCCCTCTATCAGCCAGCAGTTTGTCCATCAGCCAGACTATCCATCGGTTCCCATGTCCACCAGTCCATCTCTGAGCTCCTCCATCCCTCAGTCTGTCTGTCCCCATCTCGGTCCCGGAGCTGTGAAGCGCAGCGAAAATCCCAGTTATTTTGCAYGGCGCCCGCAGAGGAGATTGGTCCAGGCTGGGTGCTGCAGTTATGGCTGAAAGGGGCAGTTTTTCAGCGCTCCCGCAGAGCAAAATCCATTAAAATACTCCCCAAAGCTGTTGAGCTTCTCTCCAAGAGCGGGATTGAGGGATCAGCCCCCAGCACCTTCCCGTGACCCCTGCCTTCCCCCAGGACCTCTTGACAGGTCCCTTTGCCTTTCTGGGTCTCAGCTTCCTCCATGGTAAAATGAATAATTGGCCTCTGGAGAGCTTTATTGGAAACGTCTGTGTCAGATTTAGCTGATTTAGCCGTAACTGTCTCATTTCTCATGCTTTCAGTGACTCCCTAAGAGGACTATTTGCATTTTGATGGTGTTCGGAGGTGGGGGGAAGGAGGGTGGGAAAGGACATTGCAACAAAAATCCGAAAGAAAAGACGCTGCAACAAAAATGTGGCAAAACTGGGAGCAGGGACCAGGGCTGGAGTGCCCGAGCAAACAGCCTCAAGTGCTGCTTGGAGCAGATGCAGTTAAAAACAATAATGATAAGTTGAGCAATGCCGCGAATAGCGCCCTTACCTATGAAAAGTCTAACAAAAGCAAACATATGCAATGCATATAAAGTTCTTACATTACCTCTTATCCACACATGTAATTCTGAGCTCTGAACCTATAAGTTCATATGTGCCTCTCTGTGCATGAGAAGTGCATGAAAAGTGAGACACGTGCTCTTTGAGCCAAGCTGGGGCTTGCTATATGTTTATGTAATGCCTGATAAGAAAAGACTTTTCTTTTTTTTTCCCTTGGTGGAAATTATCACATTATAAACATATCTATATATAACCAAATGACTAAACATTTATGGAAATCTTGGTTTATTAATAGATAATAAGATTAAGAGCACTATTTAAAAGGAGTATTGTAACTTACATACTATGAAAGACAAGAATATTGTTTTATTATCTTTCTGTAGTGTTATCCACTGGAGAAAGAAAAGTTTGAGAGTATTTAACTGCATGTGCTATATTCTCTCTTAGCAGGAAATGATACGTAAAACCGAATCCCAAACTTGTGCAATTCATATTTTGGAAGAACTGATTCAGTTGGAGTACCTGAAAAATTTCTGTGCATTTTTCCTAGTTGATTCACTTTCCATTTATGAGGCTTTTTGTACATTATGTTTTTTTCTGCTTCSTGTCCTGTGTTTTCCCAATCATTTACTGCAAATTTATAAGAAAAGATTGGTTTAAATGGACAATATTTTGGTGATATATGGGCAAATAATGACATATCTGTAGAACTTCTTTGAGCTTGAATACAGTTCCTAATAAAAGGAACTGGAGGATATGTCAGGTCACCAGCTGCAGATGTGCATAGAGGATCAGTGTCAGAGACCCTCCTGTCCTCTGAAAATGTACTTGCCTTGAATTTTCTAATCTATATTTTCCAGTCTATGGTATCCACTCATATCTTGCTGAAACACAGGATTATATCTCCTTTTCTCTTYTTTTTTTGTAGACTCTAGAGTACACTGAGGAGGTGCTATCATAAGCTATTACAAGGTCAGTGTGGCTTGACATATGGTTTTATTAATAAAACAATACTTCAAATACTTAAAACAATACTTCAAAGATATGCAGCTTTATGTGTATGAKAAGATTTCCTTCTGTTTCGGAGTCTCCTTTGGCACTTGGATGTGAGTGATCTAGCACATGAGAAATTCCTATGAAGCAACATTGCTTCAGTGCAAATTAAACTCTAGCATTTCCAGAAGCTTTTCGCTTCTAATTCTTTTTCAGCACATAACAGGGTTTTTTTTTGCTTTTATTTTGAGATACATTAAGCAATCTCCATTAGATTCTGTATATTTTCAAATGTTTGGAGAACCAAACAAATGTTTAAAAGGTGTGTGAGTTCCTAAATTCTTTGATTTTATTTCTCTAGTTGCCTTCTTAATAATACCTTAAACCTTAATAACACTGTGAGGTCATTAGCTATGGGATACTGGGAGCTATGGCAGAGGTACTATGGCATATACAAGTTCTTGCAGTTGTCGAGGTGGTTGTAGCCGTTATGGTTTCAGCTTGGTATTTGCAATTACAATGAGCCAATAACTGTTAAACAGTGATTGCTTAACTTGCACAGCACAAAGCAAAACTGTTTAGGAGGAAGCCTAATGAAAAGGAAAAAAAAGCTCAAGAAGTGCCTAGGTCACAGCTCCATGTCCTTTAATGCCAGGGCAATGTATGAATTGTAATTGCTCTTATTTTCATACAAGTTCTTTTTCTGTTAAAGCCTTTAAACCTGGCTAAATAAGCTCATTTCATCAGAGTGGAGAAATGCCCACAAAATAGTGATCTGGCTTGTTGCATCACTGGGGAGTCATATCAGTTATTGCTCTGTCTTTAATTCCTACATAAAGAATCTGTTAGCTTGCCCTTTGAGATCTAATACAGAAAGCCCTGAAAGATAACTCGTAACTTTTATAATGCTCRTGCTCTGGTTTTGACTGTGTTTCCATATCTTCACAGGGCCAACATGAATAGTGGCTGCCAGGGCCTGCTCCTTCAAAGCAGCTTTGAATCCTGCCTGAACAATATTTAATTGGGACAGCACCTGTTTGGTCTTGCCCATTATCCAACACTGTTCATCTAACACCTCTGTTTCTTCCAGTCGTCATCTCTGGTTTAGCTTTTTGTATTTCTTTGGCTCTACAGCAGTACATGCAGTCACATCCTATGAAGTTACATAGTCGTAGATAATAGACGAGAGCATTTATTTTACAAGTGACGGCTGTTGGCGTGAAATGATGTATTTTAAAACAGATGAGATCACATCCTGAGACCAAGAACACACTGGGGACATCTTAAAACAATGCTTCAAAGATATGCAGCTTTGTTTTTATTTTTTGTATAACTGTCAAGGGTATTTCTCATTGATTTTTTTTTTTTTTTATAGGTACAACCTTATATGACTATGCCTGTAAGGAAGTTTTGCAGTGCCTTATTATATTTCTGTAATAAATGTCGCTCTGATAATAAGTAGCTTTGCATTTCTCTGTCACTTATTTAATTACTAAGGCTTTTGCTGGTAACGTTGGACAAGTCTGTAGCTGTTTTGGCGTTGTGCAAGAGCCCGACTCATGGCRCGGGATGCGTTACACTGGCACGGAATCTCAGCGTTGTGGGATAGCTGGGGTTGGCAGGGACATCTGGGAATGATGTGGCCCCCTCCCCGGGGTTGGCAGGGACCCCTGGGGAGGATGTGGCYGCCCCACAGCTGGCCCAGGGGCAGCTGGAGGCTGCTCAGGGCTGTGTCCGGTCGGGTTGTCCCRTCTCCCAGATTCTGCACCCTCCTCAGGCAACGTGTTCCAGGGCTTGACCACCCTCTGCTCTCTGCATAATGCATGAAAAGACTTCTAAGGAGCAGGTAGAAATTTCATGTAAGGAATGCAAAACTTTTGTGGAGTTTTATTAAGCTCCAGGCCAAAAGGTGATGTTGAGGGAAGATAAATGARAGGACGTGGCCACAGGCAAGAGGTTATAGAAGCAATTAATTTTTCACCTCAAGTCAAGCTGTGGTCAGCTCTCACTGACCATAAAACAAGATCATACTGGCTGAAGTAACTGCAGGGTAGCAAAACTAATTGTAGCAGATCTGACCTTCCCAGAAGCAGGATGGCACATTAGGGAAGTGCCTCGCCTATTTGCAGTAAAGCAGCTTAATATTAGCTATTAATTAAAGGAGATCTTCCATACAGTGGAACACACAAGTTCCTGCACTGAACTTGTTCATACTGAGGTTACCAACTACAGATGCAAAGATGTCCYTGCTTGAAATATCTGTGTATCTGCAATAGGCCACTTAGTAGGGCTGATTTTCATCTTAAAACTACAATTCTGGGTAATACTATTTTCTTTTTGCTAACTTCATAACAAATTATATGTGCATTTCTTTTCTGCTACATTTTTATTATATGTTTTTATATTTAGTTTCATAATTAATAGTTTCAGTAAAATTCTTAGTCTTRGGGGATAGTTTCTTTCCCTGGAACTAATTATTGAACCACCTTGATTCCCAATTTGTATTTGAAGATGTGAAAGCTGTATCTGCATTTTTCATTTCAAAACTTTTGATGAGTGAGAAGCTTATATTTTATTCTGYTCTCTCTTAGCCCATTAGTTATTTTTAACTACTTTAATTAGAACATGTATGATAAAATGAGAAACTTCAGAGAGGTTATTCACTTGGAATGTGGTTCCCAGAATATTTCAGGAGCCTGCCTCCTGAAATAGAAAGTAATATATAATTTACAAATAAGAAATTTCSCTTCCTCATTACAAACACCTATTAAATGATGACCACATATAGAAAGTAAT